TCATGCTGTTAAAAGTAATATTGAAAATTATCTTAAAGTATGTTTTATTTTCTTCTTTTTGACAATTAACTTATGTTTCTTTTTATTTTTTATTCATTAATTTCAATTAATCATAGATGATACCGTTTATTAATGAATTAAAATCTGAAGCATTAAAAGAACGTCATTGGAAAGATATGATTAAAATTCTTGATTTAACAACAATATGGAATAATATGGCTGATTTAACATTACGAGATATTTGGGATCAAGCAGATAATTTAAAGAAGAATGAACATTTATTACGTGATATTATGGTTAATGCTCAAGGTGAAAAAGCTTTAGAAGAATTTTTAAAACAAATAAGTGAACAATGGAAAGTTTATCAATTAGAATTAATTGATTATCAAAAGAAATGTAAAGTTATTAAAAGTTGGGATGATTTATTTACTAAAGCAAAAGAAAATTTAAGTAATATTTTAAGTATGAAATTATCTCCATATTTTAAAGTAAGAATAAAATTAGTTTCAATTAATTTTAAATGAAAATCTTCTTTTTTTTTTTTTTCTCTTATTAAAAAACAAAAGTCATTTGAAGCTGAAACACTTTCTTGGGAAGATAAACTTAATCGTATTATAAATATATTTGATATTTGGATTGATGTTCAAAGACGTTGGGTATATCTCGAAGGAATATTTACTTCATCAACTGATATAGCACAATTATTACCAAATGAATCACAAAAATTTCAAAGTGTAGCAAATGAATTTGTTGGTCTATTAAAAAAAGTTGAAAAATCTCCATTAGTTATTGATGTTATTGCTATACCAAATGTACAAAAATTACTTGAACGTTTAGCTGAATCATTAACAAAAATACAAAAAGCACTTGGAGAATATCTTGAACGACAACGTGCAGCTTTTCCACGGTAAAACATTCTATTCTATTTCTAGAAAAAAATATCTATTAGCGTAATTCTTAAGGAATCAAAATGCCAAAGACTATCTTAATATTTTAACAGTGCAATAAGAAAGTAGTTCATATATATTATAACGAAACATTCAGAGATACAAAATCAACCCGTGTGCGCGTAGGGCCGTACGGAAAAATTTTTGAAAATGTATTAGAATCTGGGGAAATTTTTTGAAAAATATTTTCTCCTCTCACAGAAACATTGTTCCATTTTGCAAACGGATCTTCCATTGAGCTTTATACTTGGGGAAATTATTCATCAAAACTTTTCCGTTCGGAGAAATTTTTCATTTTAGCGACAGATTCTGCACCCCTGGAGAAATTATTGATATACGTTCTGTGGTCATATATCAACATTTGTCACAATCTGTGATGGTCTCTGACTAGCATATATTACGGTCTGTTGGAATGCGAGGGTCCAAATTTTTACTTCGATAATTTCACATTCGATTTAGATTGTGTTCTATCGATATTAAATTGTTTATTATTTAGATTTTATTTTATTGGTGATGAAGATTTATTAGAAATGATTGGTAATTCAAATAATTTATTACGTTTACAAAAACATTTTAAAAAAATGTTTGCCGGTGTTCATTCATTGATTATAAATGACAATGATCAAACATTAATAGATGGTGTTCAATCTAAAGAAGGTGAACAAGTAAAATTTTTTAATTCAATATCTATTAAACAACATCCGAATATTAATGATTGGTTAACTAGAGTTGAAAAAGAAATTAGTTTAACTTTAGCAAAATTACTTGCACAATCTATTCCAGAATTACTTACAATTCAACGAAATTTAAATGATAAACAAGCATTTATTGATTGGCTTGATCAATATCAAGTATGATAGATAACTAAATTGAAGAAATAATGTTGTTTTATAGATTTTTGAATATCGTTTAAAAATAATTTTTCATTGTTTCTATAGAAATTTTTATTTAATTTGAGATTACTGTTCTCTATAAAAACGATTTCAGTCAAAAACTGATATTTGAGATATCCGCACAACATTATCGTCTAAGATCTCTGCTTTGAAAAGTTGTGAAAAGATGCAGTAAATTTTTTTTTGAAATCTTTCATAGTCATATGCATAAGCATATCTAAACGAAGGAACATTTGAACAATAAAAACTAACGACTTGTACATACTGTTTCCTAATGTGATCGTAAGAATTTCCTTTAGACCTTTATATGATGCTCTTCTAAAAAAAAGCAGTTTCAATTCTTGTTATGTACTGTAGGAAAAATATAATAGTACTTGAGAATATAAAATCTTATTTCTACATCTGTTTCACATAACTTTTTCTAGTGTAGAATATTTTAAATTATTTTTATATATTATGGGTATCTTATTTTTCTTTTCTTTCGTTTAGGCTCAATTAGTTGTACTTGCATTTCAAGTATCATGGTCAGAAAATGTTGAACGTTTACTTAATGATAAAATAAATATTGATTTACAATCAGCACTTCAACAAATTGAATCTACACTTGGTATATTAGCTGATTTAGTTCTTGCTGATCAACCTACTGTACGACGACGAAAACTTGAACATTTGGTATGTAGAATCAGATGTTCTTTTTCAAATAAATTTTTCTTTATCAAAAATACTAATAAATAGATAATTGAACATGTTCATAAACGTGATGTAACTCGAGCATTAATTGATAAAAAAATTGATTCAGCAACTAATTTTGAATGGCTAGCTCAAATGCGTTTATATTTTGAACCAAAAAATCAAAATGTTCTTGAACAACTTAAAATTCGAATGGCTAATGCAGAATTTCATTATGGATTTGAATATCTTGGTTAATAAAAAAAAACAAAAAAAAACTAACTATTCTAAATAATCAAACTTAAATTATTTTATTCAAATAGGTTTACAAGATCGTCTTGTTCAAACACCATTAACTGATCGATGTTTCTTAACAATGACACAAGCTTTACATGCAAAATTTGGTGGTTCACCATTTGGACCTGCTGGTATGTGAGAAATAGAACAAAAAAAGTCGAAATATTTCTGTAATCATTTTTTATTTTATTTTCTTTTTATAGGAACGGGAAAAACAGAATCAGTTAAGGCACTTGGAAATGCTCTTGGTCGTTTTGTACTTGTATTTAATTGTGATGAAGCATTTGATTTTCAAGCTATGGGTCGTATATTTGTTGGTTTATGTCAAGTTGGTGCATGGGGATGTTTTGATGAATTTAATCGTTTAGAAGAACGTATGTTATCAGCTGTATCACAACAAATTCAAACAATTCAAGAAGCACTTCGTCAACAATCTACATCAAATAAAAGTAAATAAACTTTTCAATTATTTTTTTTTTGAATAAAATTAAAAATTTTCTTTTTCTTGAAAATAAATTTTAGATACATTAAAAATAGAACTTGTTGGTAAAAATATTACAGTTAATTCAAATATGGCAATATTTATTACGATGAATCCTGGTTATGCTGGTCGTTCAAATTTACCTGATAATCTTAAAATGCTTTTTCGTAGTTTAGCTATGACTGTACCTGATAAAGTTCTTATTGCACAAGTAATGCTTTATTCTCAAGGTTTTCGTCAAGCTGAAATATTATCAAAAAAAATTGTTCCTCTATTTACATTATTAAGTGAACAATTATCTAATCAATCTCATTATGATTTTGGTTTACGTTCACTTAAAAGTGTTCTTGTTATGGCTGGTAATATAAAACGTGAAAGAATTAAAAATGATATTCAAAATGATGATGAACAAGAAGTAAATATTTTAATTATACAAAAGAAAAATATGATTTGTTTTTTTTTTTTTTGTGTTTAGATTATTATACAAGCTATTATGGATAGTTTTGTTCCACGTCTTGTTGCTGATGATTTAGTTTTATTAAATAGTTTATTAAATGATGTCTTTCCAAATGCAACATATAATCGACCATCAATGACTCGTCTTAGAGAAGAAATTGAAAATGTTGCTAAACAAATGTATCTTGTTTGTGATCAATTATGGATTGAAAAAGTTTTACAATTATATCAAATAACAAATCTTAATCATGGTTTAATGCTTGTTGGACCAACTAGTTGTGGTATGCTGTTAATTTAAGAGATTTTTTTTTTCTATTATTGCATTATTATAGAAAGTTCTATTGTGACAAAAGAATATGTCGTTGATGTCATGACATTATGACATAACGAAGAGAAATCGAATCGATAGACAGATTACTTCCACATTTTTTTTGTGTTCTTCGATTAATAATGAGTATAATTCACAGGATTATAAAATGAAAAAATGTAGAGTCCAGAGCCATTTAAAGGATAATCTAGTTGCGATTTTGAAACTATCAAATCTCTCGAAGACAATAAACCAGGTAGATGATTCGAGAGACTGAGAACAATTTTTCCAGCTGTTTCTCATCGAAGAGACATGAAGTTGATTGGAAGTTACCAAAAACATGTAAACTTTTACGATACGCTGGGTCCAAGCCCTCATAGGTTTTCGCTCTTTACCTGTCAGAATCAGCTAATATTTATGGGCCTAGGAAAACAAAATCTTGACTATGCCGTCATTGTCACGATGGATAAAGCTATCGCGACTTAGTCTTTGTCTATTGAGATGATTGACAATGCACTCTATTTCTATGTAAATGCAATAGTGTGAGAGTATTTCATTGCTCCATTAGAGACTACCCCATTTAAGTTGCAACCTATTAACTTGCTTATTTCGAAATGTATCGGGTAGAAACTTGCATCTATCCCGTCAGACTATGACAGAGATTACCATGGAAAATGCCATAGATCGTATAACAATAATATCTCGTTTTAATATATGAAGTACTTCGTTATTGGATTTTTGCAAAATTCAGTAAACGAATATTGAAGAGATGTATCCTGAAATAGATAGAACAAAACAATATCCCTGTAATTAGCAACAACAACTCTATGATGTTTCACACTTTAATTGTTCAAGAATTGCACCAAGAGCTTTTTCTTTTTCTTTGAATGTAATTTGTCATGCTAAATGCAATATCTAGAATATGAGACATGCTTTGAATAGGAAAAACAATGGCATGGCGTGTTTTATTAACTGCATTAAATCGAATTGAAAATTCTGATGGTCAAGCACATGTTATTGATCCAAAAGCAATATCAAAAGACGATCTTTATGGATATATGGATCAAAATACACGTAAGAATTTATTTTAAAAGAAATATTAAAATTGTTTTTTTATTTGTTTTTATATATGAATAGGTGAATGGACAGATGGATTATTTACACATATTTTACGTAAAATAATTGATAATGTACGTGGTGAATTATCTAAACGTCAATGGATTATATTTGATGGTGATGTTGATCCTGAATGGGTTGAAAATTTAAATTCAGTTCTTGATGATAATAAATTATTAACATTACCTAATGGTGAACGTCTTGCATTACCAGCCAATGTTCGAGTTGTAAGTATTTCATTTGATTAAATGATTGAATCAAGTTTTTCAATAATATTATTCTTATTTTTAGATGTTTGAAGTTCAAGATTTACGTCATGCAACATTAGCTACAGTATCTCGTACGGGTATGGTTTGGTTTAATCAACAAACAGTTACATCAGTTATGTTACTTCAATATTATTTAAATCGTATTCGACAAGAATCTGTTTTTGATATTATCAATCAAGATGATCCAAATAGTAAAGATAATGTTATACAATCATCAGAAGAAAATAAAACAAGTATATTAGAAATACAAAATCATCTAGCTGATTTATTAGAACCTTATTGTGATAAAGAACATGGATTGATTCTTGATACATTAGAATTTGCACAAGAAAAACAAGTACATATTATGGATTTTTTACCATCTAGATGTTTACAAACACTCTTTTCGATGCTCAATCATATTATACGAACAATTATTAAACGACAATTATTTTCTACTGATCGAGCAACACCATTGAATGAAAAACAAATTGAACAATATCTTATTAAATCATTAATTATTTCAATGATTTGGTCATTTTCAGGTGATGGTAAATTAAAATATCGACAACAATTAGGTGAATTTATTATGAATACAATTAAAAATCATAATATATCATCACCAGTTGATAAAAGTTTACCTATCATTGATTTTGAAGTAATAATCAGTTATTTTTAATTTTTTTTTTAGAAAAAGCTTTGCTTTTGTTTTTCTTAAATTAAAGGTTAATTCTGAAGGTGAATGGGAATCTTGGCTGTTAAAAGTTCCATCAGTCGAGCTCGAAGGAAGTAAAGTTGATGCAAGTGATTTAGTTATACCTACTATAGATACGATTCGACATGAAACTCTTCTTTATACATGGCTTAATGAACATAAACCTCTTCTTCTTTGTGGTCCACCTGGAAGGTTAAAATATAATCATTGAGAAAAAAAAAAAATTCTTCAATTTATTTGTTTCATTCAACGAACTTCTTCTATTTTTAGTGGTAAAACAATGACTTTATTCAGTGCACTTCGTTCATTACCAGCTTGTGAAGTTGTTGGTTTAAACTTTTCTTCTGCTACAACACCTGAATTAATTCTAAAAACATTTGCACATTATTGTGAATATAAAAAAACGGCAACATCTGGTGTTGTTCTTGCTCCAAGTCAATTAGGCAAATGGATCATTGTATTTTGCGATGAAATTAATTTACCTGATGAAGATAAATATGGTACACAAAGAGTTATTGCATTTTTAAGACAATGTATTGAACATGGAGGATTTTATCGTACATCAGATCATACATGGATACATTTAGAAAGAATTCAATTTGTTGGTGCTTGTAATCCACCAACTGATCCTGGAAGAAAACCATTATCACATAGGTAAATTATTAGAATTTAAAATTAATTTTTTTTTATGAACTTATTTATTTTGGTTAAGATTTTTACGTCATTGTCCATTAATTTATGTGGACTATCCCGGTGAAGTATCATTAAAACAAATCTATGGTACATTCAATAGAGCAATGTTAAAGAAATTTAATAATATTAAATCATATAGTGATGCATTAACAAATGCTATGGTAGAATTTTTTCTTATGACACAAGTTCGTTTAACACAATTACTTTTGATTTTTTGACATTGAATTATTTATTATAGGAACAATTTACAGTTGATCAACAACCACATTATGTTTATTCACCACGAGAAATGACACGATGGGTATGATTCAAACAATTTCAATATTAAGAAAACTATATTTTATATATATTTAGGTTCGAGGTATCAATGAAGCAACTCGTAATGTACAAGATTTAAGTGCAGAAGAATTGGTTCGATTATGGGCACATGAAGGTTTACGTTTATTTCATGATCGGTTCGAAAAAAATTTCAATGTCATTTATTTATATATATATTCTTCTATTGATATATTAGATTGATCTATGATTATGAACGTCAATGGACAGAAAAAGCAATTGATGATACAGCTGCTAGACATTTTGGCAATGTTAATTTGAATATTGCATTAAAACGACCTATTTTATTTAGTGATTGGCTTGCTGGACATTATACATCAATTGATGAAGATGATTTACGACAATATATTCAAGAACGATTGAAAGTAAGATAAAATTTTTTTTTCTAAACTCTATTTATTTCAAATGATTAATTTTGTTTTGCTTTTTTTTTTGAAAAGACTTATTATGAAGAAGAAGTAGGAATTCAATTAGTACTATTTAATCAAGTACTTGATCAAGTATTAAGAATTGATCGAGTATTTCGACAACCACAAGGTCATTTATTACTTATTGGTTTATCAGGTACAGGTAAAGCAACTCTATGTCGATTTGTTTCATGGCTTAATCAAATCGATTTTGTTCAACTAAAAGTAAATAAGAAAAACTAAAATCTAATTCAATTTATAATTAAAATTTGAATGTAGGTACATAATAAATATACTGCCGCTGATTTTGATGATGATTTACGTCATTTATTACGTCGTTCAGGTTGTAAAGGAGATAAAATTGTTTTTCTACTTGATGAATCAAATGTAATGGATAGTAGTTTTCTGGAACGAATGAATACTTTATTAGCTAATGGCGAAGTACCTGGTTTATTTGAAGGTGATGAATATTCAGCATTATTAACTTTATGCAAAGAAGGTGCACAAAAACAAGGTCTAATGTTAGATTCCAATGATGAATTATATAAATGGTTTACTATACAAGTAGGTTTACATGAATTTCGACCCAAAAATGATAACACTTCATATTGCTTAGCGAAATGCATTTTCAACAAAAAGTAGCGCCCAGCAGAACGACATAAAACTGAGTCGTCTGCGTTGGGTCTATTAGAAGGTGCGGATATGTGAATGTTCGTAGATCAGTGAATATCATTCGTTGTTAAGTCTTCTCTCTCACACATATACCCACCAAAACTTTTCAACTAAATTATTTAAAGTAATTTTCGTCTATTGACATACAATGCCATCACCCGAAGTGCAATGCGCTGACTAAAAGGTTGTAACTATACTATGATCTAAATTCACCTTGATTTATAGTGTTTGGCAGGAGTTAAATTGTTATGACCCAAGTCAGACACTGCTATATTGTCTTGCTGAATACTAAGTTTTAATGAAAATCCATATCGCTAAGCACTATGAAGTTTGCCAAATATTTATAGAAATAAAACTTTTTATGAGAACTAATGAGAGTAAATTGGAGCTCGATTCGAAATTTTGGCCATTCTACTAGTGCGATGTTTGTTCTTGTATGATTGATTTAATTTGAATTTTTATTCCAAGGTCATGAGAAATCTTCATGTTGTTTTTACAATGAATCCAAGTGCAAATGGTTTACGTGATCGAGCATCAACATCACCTGCTTTATTTAATCGTTGTGTACTTGATTGGCTGGGTGATTGGTCTTTGGATGCATATTATCATGTTGCTAGTGAATTAACTCAAAAAGTTGATATGCAAAAAGCTGATGTAATATTTTATATTTCGTTTTTTTTCCTAAGAAAAAAACAAGCCAGAAATATTATTTGTTTTAGTATATTGCTCCAAAAGCATTATCTCGTCTAGTAGCAAGTTTACCAATGGAACCAACTTATCGTGATGTAATTAATAATGCATTTGTTTTTGTTCATCAATCATTACATAAATTAAATGATATATTACGTAAAAAAGGTTCAACAAATAAAACAATTGTTATAACTCCAAGTCATTTTTTGGATGCAATTTAAAATTTTTTAAAAAAAAAAAAATATTTTATAGCGATATTTTGTCTTTGTTTTAAATCATATGTGAATATTTAGATTAAAATAACAGCAGAAAAACGAACTGAAATTGAAGACACTCGTCAACATTTAATGGTTGGTCTTGCAAAAATTCATGAAACTGTCATTCAAGTTGAACAATTACAAACATCATTAGCACATAAACGAAAAGAATTAAATGATAAAAATGAAGAAGCTAATATGAAATTAAAACAAATGGTTCATGATCAACAAGAAGCTGAAAAGAAACGTATTAGTTCTCAAGAATTACAAATTGTTTTAACTGTACGTAAAGAAAATTAATCAAATTCTCTTGTTGTTGTATTTCTTTTTTCTAATAGCAACAACAAGAACAAATAGTTGAAAAACGAAAAACTGTTATGGAAGATTTAGATAAAGTTGAACCAGCTGTTCAAGAAGCTCAACAAGGTTATTTAACACATATATATTTTAGCGTTCAATTTCAGATTCACTTAGGCTAATCAAGAATTTCACTTTAGACATGTTCAATCTGAGATCTGACTTTGAACGAATATTAATTCAGGCTACCCTCAGATTGAATAATTAGTGCAACCAATCTCGAATTAAAGATTAGGTATATTACATTCTATGTGATGGTTTGAATTCGTTCAAAAAGCAAACATATGGAATAAAACCTAAAATAGAGATATTTAGATGGACCTGAGTTGCTGTTTATACTCAGACAAACTTTAAGAAAGTGAAAAAGTCGTTTTACATTTCGATTGTGGATGTGGTGCAAAAAGAACTAGTACATCCACATCCATAATTTTCATTGTTTTTTTTAGTACTATTTGATTTTGATTAGATATTGTATCTGTTGAAAACAAAATTTTATGTGGTATGAGCAACTTTTACTTTAATGTTATATGCTAGTCGATTCGGAGTTTGGTCTAGAATAATATGAGATTCACTTTAAAATTTTCAGGCAAATCTTAAATTGAACGTATTTTAATTGATCAATTCGAGAATGATTTGAATTAATAACCGTCCAATGTCCTATACAAGATTGAGTTCGACGACTCCGAGATTGAATGCTAACGTATATATATATATTTTACATGTACTTTTAGCTGTTAAATCAATTAAAAAACAAAACTTAGTTGAAATAAAAAATTTAAATAATCCACCGCAAGGTGTTAAATTAACACTTGAATCCATATGTTTATTACTTGGTGAAGAAACAGCCGATTGGAAATCGATTCGTAGTATAATCATGCGTGACAATTTCATTTCAACTATAGTTAATTTCAATACTGATGATATTACGTAAGAATTCTTTTACTAAATCATTACGTTTATGAAAAAGATTATTCTTTAATCTAGACCAGCTATTGCAAATAAAATGAAAACAAAATATCTTAGTAATCCTGATTATTCATATGATAAAGTAAATCGTGCATCAGTTGCATGTGGTCCATTAGTTAAATGGGCAACAGCACAATTAATATATGCTGATATGTTAAGTAAAGTTGAACCATTAAGAAATGAATTAAAAAATTTAGAAAAAGAAGCTGAAAAAAAAGTTACTGAAATGCAACAAACAAATGATTTAATAACAACACTTGAAACAAGTATTGCAAGATATAAAACAGAATATGCTGATTTAATATCAGCTGCACAAGCAATTAAAATTGATTTATCACATGTTGAATCTAAAGTTGAACGATCAATTGCATTAATTAAAAATTTAAGTTTAGAAAAAATGCGTTGGGAAACAACAAGTGAAAATTATCAAACACAATTAGCAACATTGATTGGTGATGGATTTTTAATTTCAACATTTTTAGCTTATACTGGTTATTTTGATCAAATGACAAGACAAATACTTTTTCAACAATGGCAAAATCATTTCAATCAAGCTAAAATACCATATAAACATGATTTAGCTCGTGTTGAAGTAAGATTTATTTTATTTAAAATATTAATTACATATTGTTTGATTTGAATTATGTTGAACTTTATTTATATATGTTTAGTATGTATCGAATGCTGATGAAAGACTTCGATGGGAAATGAATATGTTACCAAGTGATGATTTATGTCGAGAAAATGCTGTTATGCTAAAACGTTTTACTCGTTATCCATTGATTATTGATCCGAGTGGTCAAGCTTTAGAATTTCTTCATCGAGAATATCAAGAGAAAAATATTGTTCAAACAAGGTAATTTATTTTGAATAGAGAGACAAAAATTATAGAGTAATGAAATGAAACTATGATGAAAATGAATACTTTTCTCTTATGACACATATAAAGTACTATAGCGAAAATTTGAACAAGTCATTTAAAAATACAGAGGCTTCACTGCCTATTACATTTCTTCGAAATTTTTAATAAGAAGAAAATTCATTTCTTTAAGCAGAAAATGTAGTCATCAGCAAATACAATAGAATATTTCGATCACCTGCAGTAGAGCAATAACTTTTTTTTCGACACAACCATAACTAACATAGATGTGTACTGTCCGAGTCCTAACGGCAAGTTAACTGTTAATCATTTAATGGTGAGCTAATTTTCAGATCGAATAAAGTAAAAATCTGTTGTTAACATGGTATACTTTGAAAATTATTGCCAAATATACTTCTTGCACTTAAACTTAATTTTAAGATGCAATACTACTCCCGAGAACATTTATGTCAGAACACAATAAGTATTGAAAAGACCTATTCTACTATATTTCGACTTTAGCATCAAAGGTTTAAGCTCTATTGCTAGGAATTTTTAAATAAGAATGTACATCAAACACTGAAAAGCTCAGAGAAGGAATTCAATCATTAACAAACTTCTTTCTGAAACACTAATTTTTATACTGATTTGTTAAATTTATAAATTAAGCCGTAATTAATATTAATTAAGAACTATCCTGATGACAAATCAATCTAACTTAAAATCTAGTGAAATTCATTTTGACGAGCATAATATTTACATTTGCACAACTATAACTATAAAAGAAGTTAAGACAGAAATGAACATTCTATAAGTACATGTATATGTTCGATTACATTTTGCCTAATGATATATTCTTTTATGGTATTTTCAACTTTATGTTATTGTTGTTCTTATGTAAGTGTTCAGAAACGAAGTACTTTCCTTAAGATATATTATTGTACAATAAATATTAGACGAAAAGTAACGAAAAAAAAAATTTCAGTTATCATCTGATGTTATCACATCTCTAATGATTAATAGTAGATTGTGACTAGATTGTTCATTTCTATTTTCATTCATGTATCTTCATAACATTAGTAATAGAGACGATGAGAAATAAGCCAAATCTACATCAAATTTAGACTTATTTACATTTGTATACTATAATTTCTATATTCGTTTATAAATTATTCTATTTATATTTGATTATCATAGTTTTATGGATGGAAATTTTCGTAAACAATTAGAAAGTGCACTTCGTTTTGGTACAACATTATTTATACATGATGCTGAAAATTTTGATCCATTAATTAATCCTGTTCTTAATCGTGATCTTCGACGAACGTCTGGACGTGTTCTTATAACAATTGGTGATAAAGATATTGATTTTTCACCAACATTTCGAATGTTTCTATTTACACGTGATTCTGATGTAAGTTTTCAAAAATAAGAATCTTCATTTTTTATTTGTTTCTTTTCTTTGATAATCAAAGGCGGAATTTGGACCTGATATATGTTCACGTGTAACATTTGTGAATTTTACAGTAACTCGATCAAGTTTACAATCTCAATGTTTATATAAAATCTTACGATCTGAACGTCCAGATATTGATGCCAAACGATCTGATCTAATGAAATTACAAGGAGAATTCGTAGCAAAATTACGTCATTTAGAAGATAATTTACTTAAAGTATTAAATGAATCTGAAGGAACTATACTTGATAATGATAAGTAAATAATTTCTATTGACTTTTGTTTTTTTTTTTTTTAAACGGAAAAAAATATCAAACAATTTCTTTGTTTTATCTATTAGAGTAATTTCAACATTGGAAAAAATTAAAACTGAAGCATCAGAAATAATGAAAAAAGTTGAAGAAACTGATGTTATCTTAAATGAAGTGGAAAAAGTATCACAAGAATATTTACCAATGGGTAAAGCATGTAGTAGTATTTTCTTTACATTATCATCATTATCAACAGTAAGAAAACAAAAGCATAAAAATTTGAATAATAAATAAATGATTGTCGTTGTCTTTTTTCTATTTCAATAGATTCATTTTCTTTATCAATATTCATTAAGATTTTTTATGGAAATATTTGAACATATACTTTATCATAATAAACGTCTTGAATCTATAATTGATCCAGTGCAACGATTAGATATAATATTAAAAAGTTTATTTGAAACAATATTTATTCGTGTTTCACGTGGAATGTTACATCGTGATCGAATAACATTAGCTGTACAATTAACAAGAATATATTTAAAAAATATTATTGGGTATATTATTATATTTATTTTTAAAAATTAATTAATACTTTCTTATAGTAATCATATGACATTTGAAAATGAATTTTTTGAAATGGCTCAAGCATTAGAAGAAAATTCTGAAATGATTCATATTCAAAATAAATTATCTGATCTACAAGTAAAATCAATATATATATTCTCTCAACTAAACTTTTATTTCATTTATATTTTCAAATAGAAACGTGCATTATCACATTTGACAACAAATATTCCATCGTTTAAAAATCTCGAACGACATATTACAACAAATTCTGATGCATTTGATATATGGTTAAATAGTAATGATATAACAACACAAGTTCCTGTTGTTTGGGAAAACAATAATAATGAAATGAATAACATAGCTACTGCTGTTTATGCGTGAGTTTTTGAGAACGAACAATTTGTTTTTTTTTTTACATAAATATCAATATTTAAATTTTATTGTTTAGAATGTTATTAACTCGTGCTGTTCGACCTGATCGTTTAATAATTGCAGCAAAATCTTTTGTTGAAAGTGTTTTCGGATCTGAATTTATTCAGAAAGCAGATGCACTTTTGACTTTAGAACAAATTATCAATGAAGAAGTACGATATATCGGTTTCTTTTCATTGATTATTAATTTATATTTTCAATATATTATATTTATTGAATAGATTCAAGGTCTAACACCTATTCTACTTTGTTCTGTACCTGGTCATGATGCATCGAATCGTGTTGAAGAATTAGCAACAAATCTAAATAAAAATTTAACTTCTATTGCTATTGGTATGATAAAGAATATCTGTTTGTTTGATTTTTTAATAAATTCTTCCAATTATTTATTTAGGATCTGCTGAAGGTTTTTCACTTGCTGAACAAGCTATTAATACAGCCACTAAACAAGGCAATTGGATTCTTTTAAAAAATGTTCATTTAGCACCTCAATGGCTTAAAGAATTAGAAAAAAAATTACATTCATTGAAACCTCACGAGTCATTTCGTTTGTTTTTATCAACAGAAATTCATCCAAAAGTACTTTATTCTTCACTGATACTTTTTTTATTTACAATCTAATCGATTTATTTTAGCTTCCAACAAGTTTATTACGTATGGGTTTATGTTTAGTATTTGAACCAGCCACTGGCGTTCGTGCAAGTTTGATGCGAACATTAAATGAATTTTCTGAAAATCGTATGGAACGAATACCACATATACGAGCAAAAGCTTATTTTCGACTTGCATGGCTTCATGCACTTGTTACAGAACGTTTACGTTATACACCATTAGGTTGGTCAAAACATTATGAAATTAATGAGAGTGATCTTCGTTTTGCTTGTGATTGTATTGATCAATGGATTAATAATGAAGGACATGATGTAAGTTAAATAATATTATCTTTCTAATAAAAAAAAAAAAAACAAATTTATTCTCGAATAGAATATTGCTTGGGATGCTCTTCAATATTTAATTGCATCATGTATCTATGGTGGACGACTTGATAATCGGTTAGTTGAAAATACATATTTAACAATTATCTAAAATAATTATTTTTATTTCATATAGTTTTGATCAACATCTTTTAGCTGCATTTGTTACTAAATTATTTTGTCAAGAAAGTTTAAATACTTCATATCCATTAATTAAAGATGATTTTTCTTCATTATTAATATCAATGCCTCAAGATACAACAAAAAATAAATATATCGAATGGATTAAACACTTGCCATCGAATGAAAAAACAACATGGCTTGGTTTACCTGATAATGCTGAGAAAGTACTATTGATTAGTCAAGGTAATTGAAAAATTTTATATTTTCAAATCATTTTCTTTAAATCTTATTATCATTTTTTTCTCTTCAGGTAGTAAGTTTGCAATTGATCTTTTAAAATGTGATCAAGGTGATGAAAGTACACTTACGATTGGTAAGAAATTAAAAATCTTCAATGAACATATTATTTTACTTTATTAATTTTAGATTTTGATGTTGGTGAACATAAAGAAGAAGATGCTAGTACTGGACGTCCAGCATGGATGATACATGTACAACATACAACAGATATTTGGCTTAAATCTTTACCAAAAGTAGTTCAAAAAAATGTTTTAAAAAAACAAGATCGATCGAACTTGTTGTTTTCGTAGATATTACCTTCAATGAAACGTACATCAGAAAATATAAAAGATCCATTATTTCGATGTGTTGAACGTGAAGTTAATTTTGCTGCTAATTTTCTACGTTTAGTACGTCAAGATCTTGCTGATGTACAATCTGTATGTGATGGAAGTAAAAAACAAACTAATGATACACGTGATTTACTTAATAATTTATCTAAAGGTATGAAACATTTGTTTATTTGAACAATTTGATGACATTTCAACTTATTTATTTAGGTATAACACCATTAACATGGAAAAAATATCGTGTTCCACCACGTATTAGTGCTATGCAATGGATGTCGGATTTTGTAGCACGTTTGAAACAACTTGAAAAATTAGTAACATTAACAATAACTGAAGGTGTTCAATCATTACGTGTATGTTCTAAGATAATTATTTCGATTGATTTTATAATAACCAAAAAAACAAAACTAATTTTTTTAGTATGTACAAATGTGGCTTGGTGGATTATTTACACCAGAAGCTTATCTTACAGCAACACGTCAATGTGCAGCTCAATCATTACATGTTTCATTGGAAGAACTTGTTATGCATGTCAAAATGCTTGATCAACCGTCACAAGTAGATTCGAATAAAGAAAATGTTTTTCTTGTTACTGGTAAGTTTTAACTATCATATTACTTCAAAAAAACAAAACTTTTGTTTTTTTTTTTTTTGCTCTAAAATTTAGGTTTGAAATTACAAGGTGCTTTATGTCGTAATAATGCATTGTTTTATTCAAATTCAATTATGGATGATATTCCTCTTTTGACAATTGAATGGAAAATATCATCACAAAAAACGAATGATCAACAAGAAGTAACTCTTCCAGTTTATGGTAATGGTCTTCGAACAGAATTACTCTGTACCATTAATGTTAAATCTGGTCAAACGAATACTTCGGAATATAATTTCTATGAACGAGGTGTGGCTGTATTGGCTTCATTACTTGAATAAATGACTAAAAGAAAAATTATATACGTATATTATTGTATGGGGATATTGAATATTATTCAAATAAATTTTTTTTTTCTTGGTTTTGATTCTATTTAATTCAAAACATTATGCTCTCTAGAGACTTTTTAGCAGAATGAAAGCGTCAAGTTTGTCCTTTATGAAACAATAACGATATAAATGATTGGTAGCCACATTTTGTTTCTTTTTTTGACATGCGTAATCTCAAAGATAGATGGAGAGATTGTGTTGTTATTCTCTTTCTTAAAAAATTAATGAACATACTTGCCAAATACGTCGTGGTCGTTGTAAAATACGATGTGTTGGTCTGTTTGATAATTTAGGAAAGTTTAAAATAATATTAGCTGAACATTGATCATGATCATTGTCACATTGACAATTTTGTTCAGACTGATATAATCGACTATATTCAGGTGTAAACATTGCCATTGGTGATGCGTCACAATCATTAGCTAAAATATATTAACTGTATCGATTTGTTTGGTTTTTTTTTGTTGTAATTATACCTTCAAAACCTAATGGACAAGGATTAGGTGGATCACAATAAGATGGTAATTTTTCATCTGTTTTTACTTCTGGATGATTTAAAATTTCACCGCTTGGACCCAAATATTGTCGATCTTCACCTATTCCACCTAGATAGAAATAGAATAATATATAAGTACAAACTATTCAAACAAGGCATATACCAGATATATATTTATAATCAGTTATAAATGGACTAGGTATTTCTTGTTCTCCATCGCGTATAAATGCATCTAAATACTGACCAGGATTATCATCGAATACTGTATCGATATTTGAGTATGATACATCATAATTTATCCAGTATGTTCCTTGAATATCGTTGATCATAAATAGTACTAATATTGTTATAAATGTCGAAAAATAATGCCGCATGGTTAATCTCTTAATATGTGTGATGTTCTCCAAAGCTATATAACAAATGACATGGAAAAAGAACTGAAAAAAAAGCTATCTTTATCTAATCCTTTCTTTTCTACTCGTTTTTCGATAAGAAGAATAGGGAAAACAGTATTTTCTTGTTGTTAATGCGGTGTAAATGATGAAAGTACTCATGCAAGTCAGTGAACAACCAAGCAAGCGAGCGAGCGAGCAAGTAAACGAACGATAGAAAAATTCTACCATAACAAATAAACCATACAATGGAGAGAAGGGGAGCATAGAAAAGAAAGAAACGGAAGATGAGTAAAAACTAATATTATTGTGATAAAAATATTCATGTGAATCATTGGTTTTGTTCAGGGACATGATAATACGTTAATCTTTGTTTTTAGAGATGCACCATTGGATGTTCTGCTAGAATCATAAGATCAAATATTTGTAGCTGTTTTTGAAATGTTAACAGGCTATTAATACTTAAAACGTATGCTATCGTGTTATTTCCAGTGAGAAAAAAATAAGAGAAAGTCGAAAATTATTGAAATTTGGTTTTAATTATTATGGTTCATTTATCTTGGTTATAACTTCTGGAATAAATCAGAGATCTATTTAATGGATCTGAAAGTCTCGCTCTGAAATAAAACATGTTTAGCTATATTGCTCTCGAATATAGCGTCTAAAAACAGTGAGTTTGATGCACAAATCGCTAGATTAAACCTCCTCTACCGTTGAAAGCAATAGTAAAAAAGAATTAAGCTTAACAAACTAATGGAAAAAGATCTTGGCTTCAACTAAAAATGATGAAAATAAGTTGAGGAGAAAACAATCCTGATCTCGTAGGAACTATTGGTGATGGGTTTCAATCTCTAAATGAATTTTTTTGTCAATTTTTCTTCGTGAGAAATAACGCGATACTACACGTTTTAAGCGTTAGTGTTCTATTAAAATTTTTAAAAAAAAGCATAAAATTTCGTCTTCTGATTTGACTAGAACATTTAGTCATTCCGTATCGTATTGGTAGGCGTTAGTAAAGGTTTAGCTAAAAGGCAAATATACGAAACCTTTTTCAGTAACCACTCAAATGGTTCTATACGAAACCTTGATTGCGGAACCTTTTCTTCTGTTTGAGAAAAAAGTTTTTGTACAAAACCTTTATTACGAAACGTTTTTTACCATTTTTCAAAAAAGGTTTGGTACAAAACTACTTTTTTTACGAAACCAAAAAAGGATCTTCCCGTATACCAGCGGAATGAATCTTTTTTGGTTCGGTAAAAATCGTTTTTTTAGAGTGTAGAAGCCTCTCAAATACACAGACAAATCTACTTCTGTTCTCACACCTACACCCACATCCACGCCCTAAATTATTTTGTAAAAAATAATTATAAAACATGTGTAGTTTTTTCGCTATTATGAGATTGAAAGAGTAAAACCAAAAAGAATTGTTAGCATTGATGAAAGCGTTCCCCTTAATATCTTTTGTTTAGTTATATCGCCCATATAAATTTGAATCGTGCCTTTTTCAAAGACTTCCAACACTGTTGTCATTTCCAAGAGTTGTTACCGTTGCTCTAATAAATTAACATGCTTCTGAAATTCATCGCCTATGTCTGTTCTTTCTGGTTGTATTGTAAATAATGCTGAAATTTAATGCACAGCGAGCAGAGAGTGGACTTTTTTAACCATTGTTGGAACAACAAAACTGACTGAATATCCAAACTTACCGCAGTCAATATTTACGAAACAGAGAGTTATCAGATTTTGGCATCTATGGAAGAAAGCAAATCTTTTCGATACAAGCTATCCGCCAGCTGTGACGCTGATGATGGAAGCGTTCAATTTTTTCCTATTTCAACGTTATACAAATATCTTATGAAATCCACACCGGTTTTAAGAATATTTTTGCATAAAAATTCTGATGAAGAACATACAATCATAACGTCTGTCTAGCAACATCAAGAAGCATCTATATCCACTTCGCTGTTTGTCGATTTAGGCCTTATTTGTTGCATTATGAGATTATCTAGACGAGCATCAATCGATGAATTTGAATTGATATTAACAATCTGAGTCCTGCAACAAAGACAAATAAAATAGATCTTAATTTCAGTTTGTTTTCATCTAGACACACTGACGTACAAGACAAATATGAATAGTGACTCACAAAACGAAACATCTTTTTGTTTTCTTTCTCGTTTTTCTGCTTCATTCAAATTACGCAGAAAAAACTTTTATTATGACTTTTAACAGTTTTTTTTTAAATTGTAATATCGAAGATTTACGAAACTATTCGTGTATTCACAAAACAAACTCGTCTCTTTCACGATCTGTAGTCAAACAGAAAGCCAGTTAGAGAGCAAATACAGATTGTTCGTTTGGTGAGTGACTATTCGTACATTCCTGATATTTTGATAGCGTGGTGACAAAAAATCAGCTAAAAGTATTCTAATAAATCTAGCAATAAAAATAAACTTTCATAAGTAATCAAAAACTGTGGTTTAAATCGCAAAACAATAATTTGGAATACTTTATTTGTTGTGAATTTTTTAATGCAGAGATTTCAATTAGAGCCGAGCAAGAGCAATAGAAACTTCAGTCTTGAGATCTAAGGAAGTTTTATGAAATCTCACGAAATCTATGCAAGTCCTATGACATCTTATGAAGCCTTTGAGTTGTGGGTGTGGGTGTGGGTGGGTGAGTGTGAGTGTGGGTGTGGGTGTAGATGGGGGGAGTTGGTGTGAATACGAATGTGAAGAAGAGAAACACTCACACCGACACGCCCACACCCACCCACAGTCACCCACACCCACACCCACACCCACACCCACGCCCACACACCCACCCACACCCACACCAACACCCACGCCCACACACCCACCCACACCAACACCCACACCCACACCCACACCAACACCCACACACCCACCCACACCAACACCCACACCCACACCTACCCACACCCACACCCCTAAATCAGGAAAAAGAGAAATGAGCAAGGAATATGATCAAAAAAAGTTTAAATATTAAAAGAACAAATATCATATTTCCACCTCAACTGCTATTAGTCTAAGGAGGATATGATGTACTTCCATACTGGCTGGAATATAAAAAGTACGAGCGTAAGTCGAAAACCCCATAGTGCAGTGAAAGTATGTAGACTTTAATAAGAGAATCATAGAAGTACGATAATACAAAGAGAGTTTGTAAAGTCTAAGGGTACCAGCGAGAATCCGTCCCTACTGCACAGTCCTTTATTTCCATCAGGAAAGTAAGCTTTTTCCAACGGTGAGGCAATTGTAAAAGATGTAGTTAGAGCCTTTACTTCCATGATTTTCACACAATTTATTTGTGTGACTTAGATGCATGTAGGCGGTTGTAGGTTTGCAGTAAAAATGTTGGATGTAGGTTTGGTGTGGATGTCACTTAATGATCTCCAATACAACTGTAACGTCCACCCACACGTATGCGAAGCGATACGCATATGCACTCTCACTCAACAACACTCACTAATATCCCTCACCTCCATCTCATACTCTCCTCATCCCTACATCGAATTTCCTCATCCTTTCACTTACACATCGCCCCGCTTACCCACACCCATTCACGCTTACTTCACTGTGCCCTACACTAGTCCACACCCACACTCTTATATTTCATACTTGGTTTTTGTGGTGTCACTGGTATACTGAGCTGCTGCTGACCATTCAACTCTCTGTGTAACATAGCATGTAGCCGACGTGTGGATTCAATCAATCGAAACTTCAGTTGTTTGGAATGGCTCAGAATGCTATAAAAAAATAAGGCTGCATGAATGCTTCTGCATTCATTTTAATGATGTCATTAGAAGTCTTCTATTGTATATTCGACGTTCTTCACGAATTCATATTCAATGATACTTGTCACGAGTATGTATTCACTGGAAGTGTATGCTTTTATGCAGAATTCTACACGTCAGTATCAGTTGAAATGAGTCACTAAGTACATTATTCACTTGAGTACAAATTTTCTTTCATATTATTACAAGTGAAACAATGCACATGTTTGTATCTTAGCATTTTTTTCTTATCAAAAATCTATGAGTA